AAAAAAAAAAAAAAAAAAAGAAAAGAAAAGTAAGATTCCAGGGTGTGGTGGTGTGCAGTTGTCGTCCCAGCTGCTTGGCAGGCTGAGTTCAAGTCCAGCCTGGGCAACAAAATAAGACCCTATTTCTTAAAAAAAAAAGAAAAGAAAAAAGACTCCTCTGTCACAGTAACACGAAGGTAGTCCACTTCCTTAAGTATTTATAGGACAAAGTTCATCCTGTCTCCCCACTCCCAAGCTCTTTTCTTCCACCATTCATTTTGTTACCAAAATGCAAAACCTTCAGGCTCTGGCTCCTTTTCATCCCATCCAGGCTGCCGGGAAGGCTCTGCCCTGCTGTTTCTCATCTCCCCAGCCTTTCCCTTTTTTCATCAACTAAGGCCTATTTCAGGTCTAACACCTCCTATTTGCTTCATCTCTCCTCCTGCAATCTGTGCCTGTCCCTCCCACACACATAGTTGTTAGCCATTCTTCCAGATACCGGCCTTTGACCCATCCTCCCTGCCTACCTCCTTAGCTGTGTGTTCTGCTCTTCTCCTGTTTACATTGTCTCTTCAAACAGGACTGCTCCTTGTTCCCTAGGCCCGCCCTGTACCCACAAGTCTTTGTTTATGGCTGTCCCTCCTCCTCATACACTTCCCACCCGCTCTGCCCATGAAGGCATCTCAGATACACCCTGCAAAGCCTTTCGTAACTTTCAACCGATTGGGTCCCCTCCTTTCTTTTGAACTTCTTAGAACATTTATGGTCTGCCTTGTGCTGGTTATCGGTGTCAGGACTGGAGAACAGGCTCTGTCTTCAAGTACTGATCTCTCCCTTGTCAAACACAGTGCCTTGCACACACTGAGGCCTCAGTTAATAGATGGAGTTGAATTGAGCTAGTATGTCCCTAGTGCAGAGACTCCATAGAACGATAAGTGAGAAATGTTGGCCCTTGCCCTATCATTGGTTAATTTAACAAGATTAGCATGTGAAAAGAATTTGTCCAGCATTCCTTTGTTTTCGGGCCACTTTCACTGTTATGTTTCGTGATTTTTGTAACCTCCTGGGAGGTGAGTTTGGCACATTATAAGATCCTTATTTGAAATGAACGATGACGATGGTGATGATGCAATGGTAGCCAAAATTTTGAACATTGACCATGTGCCAAAAATTGTGCTAAGCTTTTAACTTGCCTTCTTTGTCTTAACATCAAACCGGCATCAAACATATGAGATAGATGCTGTTTGACAGATGAGAACATTTTAATTAAAATTAACCTCAGGGAGCTTTAGTAACTTCCTAAGATCACACAGCTAATAGTAGAGGATCTAGGAGTGAAACCCAGTTCATTCGGATTCTGGAGCTTTGTTTTAGGAATACGTTTATGATGTTTCCTCAACCATATATGAAGGCCCAAGTGCCAGCGGCTATCTGGTAGTGGTGCTGAGACTAGGACTTGGATCTTGTCTCTCAGCCCCAAGTTCTATCCCCTAGGCCACCCCTCTGTGGAAGTGAGCAAGCAGATTTCTCTGGTGAAAAGGGAACAACAGGAATAGCTACTCATTACAAGCAATATCCAATGGAGTGTCTCTATTCAGAGCTGCTGCTGGATTTAGCTGGATTCTTGTCACTGCTTTGCAGGTGGCCCCCTGCTATATGAAGGCATCAGTCTCACCATGAACTCCAAGCTCCTGAATGGTTCCCAGCGGGTGGTGATGGATGGAGTCATCTCTGCCAATGAGTGCCGTGAGCTACAGCGACTGACCAACGTAAGGGAAGCCCAGAGGCTGCACCTTATCCCTGAGGGTCTAACTTCCCCCCACCAAGTACCCCTTAGGTGGAGAACGGTTACCTGACCCTTGCTGGCCCCAGCTGACAACCTCTTATCAAGCCCTCAGCTGCCCTGGCTAATGTCACCATGTATTTTGGACTTTGCAGGTGGCAGCAACCTCAGGAGATGGCTACCGGGGTCAGACCTCCCCACACACCCCCAGTGAAAAATTCTATGGCGTCACCGTCTTCAAAGCCCTCAAGGTAAACCCAGTACTGGGCATTCGAGAGTGGAGAAAGGGGTGGGGCGGGAGAGGCTCAGGCTTTGGGGAGGAGTGGGAGACAGTGGCAGGACAGATGAAGAGGGGCTGCCTGCTGGTGGAGTTGCCACAGAGCAAGGATAAGTTATGTTGAATGATGCTAACTTTTGAACCCTGGCTGTTAGACCAGAGGTCATAAAAATGCGTGCAAGACGAGACTGAAAGCCAAAGGTGTGAGAATGCTTTCTGAAGAATGGCCACCTCCAGAGGGTTGTACTTCTGAGCAGGATACATGGGTTATTCATAAAGAGAAATGTGAAGGGGGAGGAAGAGTAATATGATGAGAGCTTTGGGTATGGGAAACGGAGACTGCAGCCTCAGCAGGGATGGCAGGCTGTGGAGTGGAGCTAGCACTCCGTGTCCCTGGCATCCCACAGAGGGGTTCAGGGCAGCTGACCCCCGTGTCCTTGGCAGCTGGGGCAAGAAGGGAAAGTTCCTCTGCCGAGTGCCCACCTGTACTACAACGTGACCGAGAAGGTGCGGCGTGTCATGGAGTCCTACTTCCGCCTGGACACCCCTCTCTACTTCTCCTACTCCCACCTGGTGTGCCGCACTGCAGTCGAAGGTGGGCCTCAGCGCCCCTGCATCCTCCCCCAGCATGCTGGGCCTCAGGCTGTGCTGGATGCTGAGTACGTGGAGGACAGGAGGTGGTCCTCCTCCCTCTTGGGGACCCACTGTAAACAAATAAGCAGCAGCCCATGTGACGAGTGTGACAGTAGCATGGAGGAAGTTGCAGTCAACCTACCAGAGGGTCAAGAAGGTTTCCCAGGGGAAGTGACGGCAGTTTTGCAGGATGAATCCGACTATGGAGTCCACGGGGCAGTGGGGTATCCAACCTAGAAAGAACGGTGAGCAGAGAAGTAGAGACATTGGCCCTGGTAGTTGGGGGACTAAGAAAGCTGCCAAATCATGGAGAACTACATTCAAGAGTTTATTTTGTATCCTTTAACTTAACCATGAGCTATGTGGCAAGTTCTTTGTTACTAATTTTTAAATACCAAATTTGTGAGAGCTACTGAATTTACAAGTTCTAGCAAATTTGAAGTTATTCTTGGTTCCCTCTCCCTCTCTTACTTTCCCTTTTCCTGAGGAGAGAAGAGGTTCAGCCTGTGCTGCAGGGGACCCCCATGACCCACAGTCAGCTCTGTCGTGCTTCAGAGGGCCCCTGGTGCTAATGTGCCATCAATTAGTGGCAGGGATTGAAGAACTTTGCTCTCCCCTGGGAAGTTTGGAGTTCTGTCTGAATCTGGGCACACCCAAAGGGCTCTGGCAGACACATGACCGCCTGTGTCACAAGCCCCAAGGTAGAGGAGCGTCGGCACAGGCAATGGGAGACCCGGGAGGAGTCATCAGGAAGGGAAGGACTTGGTGAGGCCTCTCCTTTCAAAAGATGAGTTTTGCTGCTGTGTGTGGAGAGGTTTCAGGCCAGAAAGGGAAGCTGGCCAGCTGTGACCTAGGTGTATGAGGACAAAGGCCTAACTTCAGGAAGTGGCAGTGGGAGGAGAGAAAAGAGGAGCCACAGGGGAGGTGTGGGAGTAGATGGACAGGACCTGGTTACTAGCTGGGCAAGTGGGAATGGATAAGAGCAGTTGCCGTGTCCTGACAGTGCCTACACAGGGCATGCCAAAGGTTTGCAGAGAGGGAGGGCACATTCAGTGTCCTGAATGTGGTCTGCCTGGCATTTCACAGCAAACCCTATTGTCCCCTTTCATGACCTTCTCCCTGCATGGTTTCACCACCCACCCCACCCCAGAGGCCCCACTAAAGTTCATGCCTTACCTCTGCTGGCCAGCTCTTCTCCCCTTTCCTGCCACCCTCCCCTCAGCTCCTGCAGTCTTCTTGGAGGGTTTACGCACTCTACCCTGTGTCCTGTCCACCTTCTAATGCCTCTCTTTGCCTTTCCTGGGCCTTCCTATTTTTAAAAATCTAGCCTCAGACTGGGGTCATGCCATTCTGCCCAGGATCTGCCCTTGGTTGGAGTCCCATAGTCCTGCTTGTCACACCCTGCTCACCCCAGCCAAGAATCATCCCAGGAAGCCTGCAGACTTGTCCTGATCTCTAGGTTGTGGCTTAGCCAGAGACATTCCAGTAGTTCATTGGGCATTTCTATAGACCCAGACATATTTCTGTCCAGAGAAGAGCTGTGCCATCTCCAGAGGTACCCTGGCACTGACATGTATGACTTTGGCCCCAGAGGCCCAGGCGGAGAGAAAGGACAGTAGCCACCCAGTACACGTGGACAACTGCATCCTAAATGCTGAGACCCTGGTGTGCGTCAAGGAGCCGCCCGCCTACACCTTCCGGGACTACAGGTGAATGCAGGGCGAAGAGGCCTGTACTCGCCTCTGAGGCCCCCAGTGCCCTGCGCTCTGCCTCCCCACCCCAGCACACACACGCTGGCTGGGACCAGCTGTTCCCAGAGTCCAGCTCTTTGTCCCAGATCCTCTGGATGAGAAGACAAAGTGGGAATCCTTATAGTGTGATGTGCTGAGGGCAGTGAGTATGGGCCTGACACAGAAGTACCCAAGGAGGGCAGGTGGAGTCTCCGAGGCAAGGGTGGAGGGTGAGAAGGCTGCGGGGGTGTTTGTGCAGCTCCAGAGAGGATTCCTGAAGGCTCTTCACGAAAGGCCACCCTCCAGCTGCTAGTTGAGAGCACATGATGGGGCAGGCCCTAGGGAGTGGGAGGAGGAGGAGGAGGGCCATGGTGAGATGCCTCTGCCTCCCCTAGTGCCATCCTTTACCTGAATGGGGACTTCGATGGAGGAAACTTCTATTTCACTGAACTAGACGCCAAGACCGTGACAGTGAGTGCTCCCTTGTCCTCATCCCTGGGAGATAAAATCCCCGTTTTCTGCGGCTGATGTTTCCAAAGTACACTGGACAGAATGACCAATGGGGCTTCCTAGTGGACAGCGCTCCATCCCCAAACCAGGGGGGCTTTGAGATGTGTCCATTGCTCTTCTAACTGGTCACCCTTTCTCTTTCATTGTGGCCTCTGGGAAGCCAAGCTGAAGAGCCATCCCAGATCCTGGACCCCAGTGAGCCCATGTCTCTGTGTATGGGTTATAGTCTTTGTCCTGTGTACCCCCCTCTTTTGTCCCCTTTAGGCAGAAGTGCAGCCCCAGTGTGGAAGAGCCGTGGGATTCTCTTCGGGCACTGAAAACCCTCATGGAGTGAAGGCTGTCACCAGGGGGCAACGCTGTGCCATCGCCCTGTGGTTCACCCTGGACCCTCGACACAGCGAGCGGGTGAGAGCAGCTGGTGTTGCTGTGACTTGTTCCTGGAAGGTCCTGGTTTTGCCTCTTCCTTCCCCAAATCCTGTTGCCAGTGGCTGGGACACAAAAGGAACACTGGGCTTGGGATGTCTAGCTCCAGCGCCGTGTCACCATGGTCACCTTGCTTCGTCTTCCCTCAGCCTGCTTCCTTACCTGTGAATGGGGCTTCAGGTGGGAGGGTTAGGACCAAGACAGGGAGCGTTGCTGAGTTCTTGGTTCCCTCCTTGGGCCCCACGTCAGCTGTTGTCCAGAGAGTAGGACTTGCTGGGAAGATGAGCATGGAGCCATTAAGGAAGTGCCTTCCTTATCCTTTGGGAAGTAGCAGCTGAGAGATGGTAGGTACCTGTTCCAGGGCCTCTCTGAATAGGCAGGGGTTTGTCCTTGCAGGACCGGGTGCAGGCAGACGACTTGGTGAAGATGCTCTTCAGCCCTGAAGAGGTGGACCTGCCCCAGGAGCAGCCCTCAGATGCCCAGCAGGGCCCTCCTCAACCCGTGGAAGAGTCTCTCTCAGGCAGTGAGTCAAGTCCCAAGGATGAGCTATGACAGTGTCCATGCCACAGGTGGACGGATACTAGACCCACAGAGAGGAACTCTGTCCTGGCACCCTGGTCTAGGCAGCCCCTCGGGGCCATGGAACCATGGTCCTGTGTCTGCTGCTCAGCTGAAGAAACCCTTCTCACAGCCTTCTGCACGGTGCTACTGCTCTTGGAGTGGACATGACAGGATGCTGCCCCCCTCTGAACCTGGCGAGGTCCCAGGACCCAGCCCAGAGCCACCCCAGCGGCCTGCACAGGCAGCCACGTGACAGCAATACAGTATTTAAGTGTCTGCAGACAACCAAAGAATAAATGATTCGTGTTTTTTACTTGGTGATTTGTTCAGAGAGTAGAAATATGCCCATTCTGCCCCAGAGGCCTCACTTGATGTAAATTATTCGAGGCAGGATACAGCGGCAGGTGTGGTGTGAGAAGGCCTGGCTCACAACCCAGCTCGGCCACTTGCTGTGCAGCCTCAGGCCAGACACTTGACCTCAGGGACCTCAGGGCTGTCACCTGTGTAATGGGGATCATGGTCCTCCCTCTGCCCACCTTCTGGGGCAGTTGTACAGCCCAGATGCAATATCGGATGTGACAGCACTTTGCAAATTGCAAAGCTCTGGATGAATGGTTGGGATTATGGCTAATCCTCTTCTGGCAGGGAGCAGTGGTCAGCAGTGCTCTGGCACATTGCCCCCATGTCAGCCACATGCTTCCTGCTCTGCCGTCTGGCCTCTGAGTCCCATACTTCAGGGCCTCGTGTGCAGAACGGCACACCTCTAGGAGACGGCGTGGAACTGGAGGTTCAGCTCCTCCGCCATGTCCCTGGTACCAAGCCCAGCGCCCTTCCTGTGCTTGAGTGCCGCAGGGCAGTGAGTGTGGGAACCTGTACCTTTGATGTTCATTTGTTGCATCAACTAGTATTTACTGAGCACCAACGAAGTGCCTGGTGCTAGGTAGTGAACAAAACAAGCCCCCACCCTCATACAGCTTGTATTTTGTAGGAGAGACAGATAATAAACACATAAATATATGTGTGTGTGTTTGTGTTTGTGTTTGTGTATGTAAATCCTTTGAGGTAGAAATAAAGCAAGTCAGATTCCTGAGATGGGAGGAAGAGCATGGAGACCAACATGGTGGTACAGAGTGGGCCAGAAGGAGAGCAGTGGATGGTCAGGAGGTCTCTGGACCTTGGCCATTGTGAGGATGAGGGTGTCACAGTGAGCCTAGAGTCTTTGAAGGGTTTTCAGCAAAGTGATGGCATCAGATTTGCTTGTTTAAAGAAATTTTGTACTTAAAAAAAAATTTTGTACTTTTTTTTTTAATAAGCTGTTTTTTGTTGTTGTTGTTGTTTTGTTTTGTTTTTTTGAGTTGGAGTCTCACTCTTATCACCCAGGCTGGAGTGCAGTAACACATTCACAGCCACCCCAGCATCGACCTGCTGGGCTCTGGCAATCCTTCCGCCTCAGCCTTCCAAGTAACCAGAACTATAGGCATGTGCTACCACGCCTATAGTTAATTAGCCAATTTTTTTATTTATTGTAGAGATGAGGTCTCACAGCCGGGCTCAGTGGCTCAGCCTGTAATTCCACGCCTTGGGAGGCTGAGGTGAGTGGATTGCCTGAGCCCGTAGGTTCGAGACCCGCCTGGGCAACTTTGTGAGACCTCATCTCTACAATAAATCAAAAATTAGCCAGGCAT